ACGCATCATGTATTTCAAAAGAGATAGTAGAACTGCCGATACTGGAGTCAGAGATAACAAGGTGTAGAGCTGGAGGAACACAGCAGGCCAGGCAGCATCAGAGGAGCAGGAAAGCTGACGTTTCAGGTCTGGACCCTTCTTCAGAAATGGGGGAGGGGAAGGGGACTCTGAAATAAATAGAGAGAGGGGGAGGCGATGATAGAAGGTGGATAGAGGAGCAGATAGGTGGAGAGAAGATGGACAGGTCAAGGAGGCGGGGATGGAGCCAGTAAAGGTGAGTGTAGTTAGGGAGTTGGGATGGGGATTGGTCAGTGAGGAGGGAGGGGCGGATAGGTGGGAGAAAAGACGGACAGGCCAAGAAAGTGGGGACGAGCTGGGCTGGTTTTGGGATGAGGTTGGGGGTGAGGAGATTTTGAAGCTTGTGAAGTCCACATTGAGACCATTGGGCTGCAGGGTTCCCAAGTGGAATGTGAGGTGCTGTTCCTCCAGCCTTCGGGTGGCATCGTTGTGGCACTGGAGGAGGCCCAGGATGGACATGTCATCCAAGGAGTGGGAGGGGGAGTTGAATTGGTTCACAACTGGGAGGTGTTGTCGTTTGTCACGAACCGAGCGTAGGTGCTCCACAAAGCGGTCAAAATCTCTAGGCCCTGTGAACTTTTGTTATCCTCCATTTTGAAACCAGTAATGCCAATGTGGCTTTATTTATTTGTATGTAGTCACATATATTGTGTGTTGTGTGATAATTGTCTTATCATTTTTTATATCCACTGATTGCCAAGTTAAAAAGAAATGTGAATTGCAAAATCCTAAAACTTGTTTAAATTTGTAGAACTACCCAGAATCAAAATATGGGTAATAGAATATATAGTCTTAAAAGATTGGCATCCATAGTGAATCATCAGTTAGTTTTTAAAATAGTTTTTAAAGATAGATACTTCATCTTTGACACTTGATCCTTCTCTACAAGTCTGGAAAGCTGGGCCAGTGACTCGAACACTTTCTCGTTTATATTTGTAATCTGTTGAAAATAGTTGGAAGTCGCACAACACCAGGTTATAGCCCAACAGGCTTACTTGAAATCACAAGCTTTCTTAGCACTGCTCCTTCATCAGGTGAAGTGGAGGGAAGCGCACAGGCACAGAATGTGTAGGCGGAAAGATAATGGCAAGTTAATTCCAGGTAATTAACAATGTCAACAGATAAGTACAAGTAGTGTGAGGAAAGTTTTAACAGCTGAATAACCAGCGAAGGGATGACCTATGAACCGATTAATTAAGGCAGAAAGATATTTACAAATAACCAAAAATAAGATGGTGCTAGAAATAAACCAAATGGCTGGAATAACATGATAGGCATCAGAGTCACGTGGGTCTAACGAAGGTAACAAGTAATTCAAAACTGTACAAACTAATTAAGGTAGAGAGATCATAACAAGGAATCAAGGTAATGATGTCAAAACAGAACAGTAAGGAAGATTTTGCCATCACAGAACAGTATGGCGGCGTTACATGTAGCATGGCATGAATGCAAGATCACGGTTGGGGCCGCCCTGGTGAGCACGGAACTTGGCTATCAGTTTCTGCTCGGCAGTTCTGCATTGTCGTGTATCTTGAAGGCTGCCTTGGAGGGCACTTAAGTGAAGACCGGAGGCTGAATGTCTTTGACTGCTGAAATGTTCCCCGACTGGAAGGGAACATTCCGATCTGGCGATTGTTGTGCGGTGTCCATTCATCCACTGCCTTGGCGCCTGCACGTTCTTGCCAATATACCATGCCTCGGGCCATCCTTTTCTGCAGCATATGAGGTAGACAATGTTGGCTGAGTCACATGAGTACGCACTGTGTACATGGTGGGTGGTACTCTCAGGTGTGATGGTAGTGTCCGTGTTGATGATCTGACACGTCTTACAGATGTTGCTATGTCAGGGTTGTGTGGTGTCATGGTTGCTGTTCTCCTGATGGCTGAGTAGTGTGCTGTGAACGATGGTCTGTTTGAGATTAGGCGGCTGTTGGAAGCCAGGTGTTGGAGGTATTAGGATGGCGTTTGTGAGATGTTTGTCATCATCGATGACATGCGGAAGGCTGCGAAGTACATGCCATAGTTTCTCTGCTCCGGGGAAGTACTGGATGACAATGGGTACTCTATTCGTTGTTTCCTGTGTCTGTCTTCTGAGGAGGTCATTGCGGTTTTTCCCTGTGGCGTGTCGGAACTGGCGATCAATGAGTTGAGTGGCATATCCCTTTCTTATGAGGGCGTCCTTCAGCGTCTGTAGGTGTTCATCATGTTCCTCCTCATCTGAGCAGATCTTGCGTATTTGCAGGGCTTGTCTGTAGGGGCTGGCTTCTTTAACATGATTAGGGTGGAAGCTAGAGAAGTGAAGCATTGGGAGGTTATTACCATCGCACATGAAAATAGTCTAACTTGTTGAGCACTGGTAACATGAAAGTTCACCTTCTGTCTGCGTCTCAACCTCCTCAGCTGGCCCTCCTGGAGCTTTTGCCTTTGTAACTGCTTCCACAGTGGTATCGTCATCCATGTTGCCTCTAAGATGTGCAGGTGTACAGTTGCTTTGAGTGTGCCTGTGCGTGCATGGCATGTCAACATATTTTGCTGTATTGACTTCTGATTCTGGAAGTCATCGCCATGCAGGGACCTTGGAGGTGCATACACAACAAGAAGAAATTACCAGGAATGCTGATCATCGTCTGTTGGTGCAACACAAACTTCAGTAGCATCATCATCATCAGCAGCTGTGGCCCTCAGATTGTCTTCCTTTTCATCTAATCCTAATTTTGGGAAAAGTGCGGCACCAGCATCATCTCCCATGACGTCACATGGTGAAAATCCACTGAAAAGAATTGCAGGCATGAAACAATTCACACATCTCAGGCTTTCTTCAGGATGTTCATGGCTTGAAGTAAGTCTGCATTTCCAACAGTTTCCAGGCAGGTGATTTCCTTAAGGATAAGCATCTTGCAATTAAAAGCTTTTTCTAAATTTCTTGGTCCATTGTCTGAGTAATTGAAGTTGAATTGGGTAAGAGAGGAAAAAGGTACAATCATCTTGTTTGGACGTGAAGAGGGGCTGAGCAATGATCCGTGAATAAGAGGGTCCTGCGTTTCTGGAATTGTATGTGGTGATCCGGTTGCTGAACTCATGAAGTAATGGTGCCATTCAGGCCATTCGGTTTGCTTCATTGCTGACTGGTGAAGGTTGGCGTGGTTTGAGCACCTTGGCTTTTTGAATTTGCCGATGAGTAAGAAGCCATGTATTTCGGACATGTTTGCGGTATCAAGATGTGGCCCCGATCTTTCTTTTTGTTGCTTACCATTGACTGAAGCATGGTCCTTGGTGCGGTAAGTTTTATCTGGTGTGTCTTTGTAGAGGAAGGCCATTTTGTCTTCATTTAAAGATATCTGTGGGATTATTTTCTTCAGTCGGTTCTACGAAGGTGCTTATGCCAGTCAATTCACGTCTGAAGTGTCTGCAATTGAATCTTCTCCATTAAACCCAGTTGTAGACAAGGTTCGGTCTCGATTTTAAACTACAAACAACAGGCATTGCAAGGAGTAAAGTTGGGGACATCCAATTTCAGCTTTCTCCGCAAGCATCTTATGGTAATGCTATGTCTGGCTCAGTTTTAACTGCATTGCTAAACCGACTAAAAAGCTCCATCTTCAATCCTGGATTTTGTTGTGAGTTGTATCTTTCCGGTGTTCACATACCTTTTTCTACGCTCCTCCTTTTAAATTTTTTCGGTAGTTTTCATCCAACCACTTCAGTTTTAAATTTGACTGTGAATTCAGCTTGATTGTCATTTGCGTGCTGTTCCTTCATCACGTTCCTTCAATGGCTTATATTTGGTTTCAAGTTCTTCAAAGTCAAATTTTCTTTTCTTGCTATGGTTAGCTATGATATTTGACAGCAATAATTCAGATCATGTGCTTCAATAAACTGCAGCGCGTCAGTCTGAATAGGATTTGTCCTTTTTATTCTCTAAATATTTATTGTTTTACATTTGGGACATTAAATTCTGAAGATGACTGTGTGGGTTGTCTCAAATAGAAGACATAAGGGCAGGAACAAAGACTACATGTTGACTCATGAGCTTATCCCTCTATGTTAATGTCATGACAGAGGTGCAAATCATACAGAAAAAGAGAAAAATTGATCAGGATCTTGTTGTGTGGTCACCAATGACAGGCTGTTGAACTGTGTGTGGTCAAAATAAGGGGATAGCCCTGGAGTGCTTTATACAATCAGTGTACTTTCAAAGCATTTTACAAGCAGTAGTGTTGTAATGTAGGGGAAATGGCAGGCAATTTGCACAAAGCAAGCTCTGACAAACAACAATGTGATCATGATAGGATAATCTATTCTAAAGATATAGATTGAGAGATAAGTATTGACCAGGACACACAGCTGCTCTTTGATAAAGTGCCTTGGGATCTTTCATCTGAGAGGCAACACCTCCAGCAGTGCAACATTCTCTGAGAATGCTCTGGGGACATCCTATCCCAGCAGATGGTGGAATTTAAGTTCGGTTAATCGGTCTGGATTATAAAGCTCAACTCTGTAATGGTGACCATGCCAGCTATTGCTAATTGGTGAACCAGACAAGTTGTACAATGTCCCTTAGGCAATAAAATCTACTGCCCTTTCTTGGTTTGGCCTACATGTGACTTAAGAGCCAAAACCATGCTGTTGACCCTTCACTATCCTCCAAAATGGCTGAGCAAGCCACTCCATTCAAGGGCAATTAAGTATAAACAACAAATGACCAGAACACATGAATTTTTTTTTAAAATCTAGAGTTTGTGATAGAATTATATTTGGAACACACTTCTGAAGTAATGTTTAATGTGCTTTGGACATACAATTGTTGACTTCTTTGGCCCTGTCACTCCGAGCGAAACAAAGCCTGGAGTTTCCCATTGGTGATCCTCTGACCTTTCTCTCTCTTTTGCTCTCTAAAATTTATTCATTAATGTTTCTCACAGAGGCTTCTACACACCAGGAGCAAGTGGAAACACCTGATGGATTCAGCCTGCACCTGTCCAGCCTTCAAATGTCCACCATCTCATTCTGTCCGTTGTCTGGATGCGTCCCTTGTGTCCGAGTGTACGTCAGGATGAACAACTCAGGTAGGACTGGATGTCGATTGGAGTTTATCCTCTGGTGTGTCTGGGATTTAGACCGCAGTTGCCTATGATGCTGTTGAAAGTTGATTGCCTGGAATATTCAAATCTCCTTCTATGGGATCCACATGAGAAACAGAACTCAGAAATTAGGGGAAGAGCCTATTTGAACAGTGAGATGTGGGCGCCTCCTGTAAAGCAGCTGGAACAATACCTCCGCCCAAGGTCATAGCTGAAATATACATCACTGTCAGTCCAATCTTTTACTCCAAGACTATTTGCAACAGACAAGGTAGAAACTCCACCTATTGGGTGGGGTGGGGAATATCCCTAAAATCAGGAATGCCTAGGATTTCCATTTGGGACCAGGCATAAGGGGAGGAATGTTTCAATAAAAGAAATTAGCTTAACCATTGGGGCTTCTTCTGACCATGATTTCTTAACCCCTGGTTGTCCGGAGGGAAGCCCACTGCTGTGTTCCTGTTAAGGCCCCACTGTTAAATGTGGGTTATAGTTGACATCGTTGAGACCCAAACAAGGTTTTGCGAAAGAGGACCCTATTGCTCTGGGTGGGTGTCCTTGCTGTCTGCTCTGTTGTGCAAGTTAAAATGCCAGAAGGTCAGCTCTGAGCAGCTCCAGTTTGGCTGAATAGCCTGGTTGATTTTAGCTGACTACACAGCAAGGTTCCACCAGGTAGCTAGGGTCACAATCAGCCCGGAGCATTTGAAATTTGAGTGTGAATTGAACAAGTTTCCCAGCTATGAAGCAGGTGAAATTTTGCCATGAGGCTTGTTCGGGGATTTACATGGAATAATTATTCTCACTGTTTCCAATCCAGGTTTTTAACTCCAGAGTTTAGATCTGGCTAGAATTCAGTAGTCTAATAAAACAGAATAAATCATTTATTATAAACAATGTGAAGGTTAATCCTGTTGGTTGTGACCTTTACTATTGCAACTCTGATCAATTTCCTTCTACTGGATGTAGAACTGATGTCTTAAAAACCAAAAGAACTGTGGATGCTGGAAGTCATAAACAATTGGGCAGCACGGTGGTTCGGTGGTTAGCACTGCTACCTCACAGCACCAGGGTCCCGGGTTCGATTCCACCCTCAGGTGGAGTTTGCACATTCCCCCTGTGACTGCGTGAGTTTCCTCCGGGTGCTCTGGTTTCCTCCCACAGTCCAAAGACTGGCCATGCTAAATTGCCTGTAGTGTTCAGGGATGTTCAGGTTAAGTGGGTTAGACATGGGAAATGCAGGGGTAGGGGAATGGGTCTGGGTGGGATGCTCATCAGAAGGGTGGTGTGGACTTGTTGGGCCAAATGGCCTGTTTCCACACCATAGGGATTCTATGAATGAATTAAAAGCAGAAATTGCTGGAAAAGCTCAGCAAGTCTGGCAGCATCTGTGGAGAGAGATGCGAGTTAACATTTCAGGTCCAGTGACCCTTCCTCAGACTGCTGGTAGCGAGGAAAACGTTGCATTTAATGCAGAAGGTAGGGTGGGGGGAGGGGATGAGGAGTAAACGGTAGGTGGAGATAGAATCATAGAATCCCTACGGTGTGGAAACAGGCCATTCAGCCCAACAAGTCCACACCACCCTTCCCAGATCTATCCCTCTACCCTTTCTCTGTAACCCTATATTTCCCCGGCTACTCCAACTAACTTGCACACCCCTGGGCACTGCAGGCAATTTAGCATGGCCAATCCACCTAGCCTGCACATCTTTGGACTGTGGGAGGAAACCGGAGCACCTGGAGGAAACCCACGCAGACACTGGGAGAATGTGTAAACTCCACCTGAAGGTGGAATCAAACCCCGGTCCCTGGCGCTGTGAGGCAGCAGTGCTAACCACTGAGCGACCGTGTTGCCAAAGAGAGAGAAGAATTGTTGAATAGACAAAGGAGTGGATAATGATCAGCCGAGGAGAATGAATAGCTACTAATGGGGACTTTTAGTGGCTAACAATGGGTAGTATGTAATAACAGACAATGTGATAACAAGACCTGGTGTGTGGGCATTGGCATAAGGACTTATTCCTTGCCCTACTTTAATTTTTATCTCTCCTTCAGTGCCGGTGATAATTGATGGAGTGCAAATTCACTTCTTTGAATATAAAAGCAACAGAAACAGTGAGATTCAAGTCCGCTGGAGAAACCACATGCCACCCCTTAACACAGTGAGTCCTCTTCTTTATTTATTATATGGAATTTACAGACAGAAATAGCTACTTAGCCCAATGACTGGTGTTTTTTTTGCCCAGCCCAAGCCTCCTCTCACTTCACTTCATCTCAACCCATGAACACATTTTGTCTCAACTTGTCCTCAGCTTCTGCTGTTGGCCTGTTTATCTTTAACCAGGACCGTCTATTCCTTTCAAACTTAATTGAAAATGAACATTAAAACAGATCATGCCAAAAGATTCCTGTACCAGGTTGATTCTTCTTTTGGGTATTTTGTAATGTTACTACTCTAGATTATTTTGACTTTATCTTACAAAACTTTCAATGGCGAGTTCTAATTCCCATTCACTATCCTGAGCTTGAGAAGTAATTATTCAGTACTACACTCAGGAAACCCTCAGGTTGGTCACTGCTTTTAATGATTTGGAATATCTTTTGTCTGAGGAAGATCTCAGTGCAGTCTTTGGTGATGGAGAATCGCATCAGACACTTCTTTTCTCTCCTGTTCAAAATATCAAGCAAATTGCATTTACAAAAAGCTAAAAGAAGCGGGTTGTGAAAGGTATGTAGGGCCAGGAATTTTGTAGCACAGAAGAAGGCTATTTGGCCTGTAATGTTGGTACTACCTCTTTTGAAAGAACTACCTGTTAGTCCCACTAGTTTTTCTCAAGAAGGGTCTCGACCCGAAACGTCAGATTTCCTGCTCCTCTGATGCTGCTTGGCCTGCTGTGTTCATCCAGCTCCACACCTTGTTATCTCAGATTCTCCAGCGTCAGCAGTTCCTACTATCTCTGATAGTCCCACTATGTTGCTTTTTTTCCTATTAAACCCTCCAGGTATTTTCCATTTTAAAAGTTAGAATTAAATCTTCTCCCACCATCCTTTCAGGTAGTACAGTTCAGATCAGCAAACATTCTTTCATCTAACTCAATTGTGGAAGACAATAAAAATACTGCAACACTTAAAACTAAGAGCGCCCTTTGTAGACATCTTACAATGTTTTCCTTATTTTGCTTCCATGTCTTGCCACTGCAATTGCCTAAAACTGTTTCATGTCAATGTGGTTTTGTCTATTGTCTCTCGCTCTCGCTCTCACTGTCTCTCTCTCTCCTCCCTCTGAGTCAGAAATCACATGACACCAGATTACAGTCCAACAGGTTTATTTGAAATCATAAGCTTTCACTTCACGTGACAAAGGAGCAGCACTCTGAGAGCTTGTGATTTCAAATAAACCTGTTGGACTGTAATCTTTCGTCGTGTGACTTCAGACTTTGCTCCCCCTCCTCAGTCCAACACTGGCATCTCCACACCAATCCTCCCACTGAAGCAGAAAGAAACTGTCATGTGGCAGTGCATAAATTTGAATTATCACTGTCTAAAACCTGCAACTTTTATTGAATAAAGTCTGTTGCAGGAACCTGAATCCTAAACTATCCATGCACTGAAATTATGAAACAACTGTTCAATTAAAATAAGAGACAAAAAAAATCTCAGTATTCCCTTATGTATATGGACACATATTCTAAATTAGGAAGTGGCTTTGTCTCCGGAATCTGAATACTAGTTTTTCCCTGTGAAATTGCATTTAATTAAGTTTCTAAACCATTTGTACTCCATCACATGCTGATACAGGCCTGTATTGGGGTTTCTAAATCCTGTTGGCCCAAGGTCTCAAAACTGAGAGGGGAACGTAATGACTTTTACTTTTGAGAGTCCCATGAGGATTCCCCGATATTGCCTGGCAGCCATAAACTCCAGTCAGGACATGGATTTGCTGGGCCCCATCCTTATGCCTGACATTGTATGGCCTTGTGAGCTCTGTCTACCATTTACAAGGGCTATGATAGAAGGGATTGGTGAGGCTACAACATTCCAAATTGTGCTTTTGTTTTTATAGGGCCTTGGTTGGGACTTGACATACTCTTTGAAACTTTTAATGAGCATCTTAAAAGAGAGAAGTTGAGTAAAGAGGTATAGGGATGGAATTCCAATGCTTGGGGCCTGAGCAATGAAGGCACAGACATCAATAGTGAAGTGATTAAAATCAGGAATGCTTGAGGCCCGAATTTTGGATATGCAGAGATCTCTGAGGGTCATGAAACTGAATTTGATTAGGGATAGGTAGGGGCCAAGGTCACAGAGGGATCTGAAAACAAGGATGAAAAATGGACAGCCCAGCATCTTTGCTGGGATGCTCACCTCTGGCCAAACATCTTTAACAGCAGCATTTTGGGGATTCTCAGTAAGTAATGTAGGCCCAGCAGCAGTAGCACTGCCAATCACAAGTAGCAATCCGATGAAGGTATGGTTCCTCTGAACACGGGGAAATAACAGAGGCTCACAAGTAAGCACAATTCAGGCCTAACAGTTCATGTCATACCCTCCTGTAGATCTCTCTGTATCTGTGTTATACTGTCATTTGTAACTCAGCCTGAACAACAGCACTGTTTACACAGGAAGGAGCTGAATATCCTTCTTGAGACACACTGTCATCTGCTTTTAATCTACATCCGAACACATTCAAAAGAGATGCTTTTCTTTTAATTATGTACAGGCTAACTTCATATATGAATGCTTTGAATCAGATGCTGGATCTAAAGTGGAAGTTAGAGTTAAGACAATCCCAGATTATGGACTCCAGTTAACTGAAGAATACAACGTGGAAGATTACAAAACTGGTATGAATCATAACTCAATGCTGCATAGTCAGGAGACAATGATAACAGTCACCTTCACATTGTAGCCTATGTCTTCAGATTTATGGTGATCTGTTTCAGTGACTCTCACACTTGTGCTACTGATTTGTTACTTCGATAGGTGTTGGTCCTTTATTGACCTGTTTGGCCTCTAACCCGCAGGATTTTTTTTAAACTGTGGGGCGGCTACTTGCAACACCAAGTGAATTGGCACCAAGATGCCTCTGCAGTGTTAGGCGGGGAGGAAGGTATTTATTGTACAGCATGGGAAAACTCTATTACTTGCTTGTGAGAAGGGGCCTGCAGCAAGACACAAGCTGGCAGATGGATGCTATACCCTGGAGAAGGTAGTTCTATTTCTGCCCCATTCCCCTAAATGTCAGCAGGATTGAAGAAAAACCTATTCCTCAAAGTGCCTCTGAGTCTAAATGAGTAGCTTTGCCCATAACGTGGGAACCACAGTGTAGTGGTAATGCCAGTGGACTCATAACCAGAGGTTCTGTTAATATGCTGTGGACATAGGTTTCAATCCCACCACAGTATCTGGTGGAATTTAAATGTGATTAATAAATCTGGAGTTAAAAGTTGGTCTTCATAACAGTGACCATGAAACCATTGTTGATTGTTGTTAAAGAGGAAGGAGTCCTAAAGGGGAAGGCCTACATTGCAAGTCCAGGCACACAGCAATGTGGCTGACTCTTGAATTCCCCCTTTAGAATTGGGATGAGGAGGATTTTCTTTAGCCAGAGGGTGTAGAATCTGTGGAACTCCTTGCTGCAGAGGCCAAGTCATAGCTCATTGAGTGTATTTAAGACTGAGATAGATTGTTTCTTAATTTAGTAATTGGAATCAAGGGTTATGGGGAAAAGGCAAGAGAATGAGGTTGAGAAACCCATCAACCATGATCGAATGGCAGAGCAGACACAATGGGCCAATTTGCCTAATTCTGGTGCTGTTTCTTATGGCCTTAGTTAGAGATAAGGGTTTGTTTCAGTTGTAACAGAAAAAGAAACTTAAATGAGACAATTTACTAACTTTACAATTCTATTAACAAAAATGAACAAATAATACACTTGAAATGGATAAGTACGCTGCTGTGGCAAAAACTATCAAAAGATCTAACACCAAATCTAGCAGAATCCAGTTTGATTTTTATTTCTAACTATTCAGGAATACCTAAAACCATCTGGGCATTATTAAGGTAAAATATCTAACAATATCCAGGAACAGAATATCCTTCAACATTTAAAGTGAAGTTTTATCTTAGAATCCTGAGTACATAAGAGATCTTCTCCAGGGGGAGAAGATTTCTTTTGAGAAGTATTATCTGAGGGACCCTAATATTTCTGAAATTCCACCTGCTTTGGAAATATTGGTGTCAACCCACTGCGTAGGTTCCTCCAGTCATGTGATGCTGCATCATATCTTAATTATTCAGTGAAGGTTCCATTTATGAAGTTATGATCTTTTATTTAGTCTGTTTATTTTTGCTTCTTTCAACATTTTTTTTATTCTTTCAATCTTAAGTGAATCCTTTGTTAAACATTTATCGGTAAAGCTGTTTTGTTCCTCTGTCTCATTCTGGTTTCTAGTAGTATTCATGTGACGAAGATCTTCTCCTGTCACGAGCTGTTGGATTGTTCTGGTATTTCTTCTGAGATTAACATGCTACTTTGACACCCAGTTTTGAAATGTAATAAAAACAGAGAATGCTGGAGAAACTCAGCAGGTCTGGCAGCAGCTGGGAAGACAGGAGTAGATTTAACCTTCTGGGTCTAATTATGACTCTTCTTCAGAACTGAAAGGGGTTGAAAAATAGTGGTTTTTATGCTGTTGACATAGATGGAAGAGGAGGAAGTGAAACAGACAGTGCGGATGCCCAGATGTAAAGTCAAAGGGGTTGATTACTAATTGTGGTGGAACAGAAGGAGGTGTACAAGCCTGTAAATGAAGGTGTAAATGGGCAGAAATAAGTCCACACTGCAAGGAAACCAAACAGGGCTGGTGGTGGGGTGGAGGGGGCAAATGGTAAGGGGGTTGGAGTGAAGGGTTTGTGAGAAGAATGGAAGACGTATGTCGTGCTCTGAAGTTGTGGAATTCAAGATTTGAGTTCGACTGGCTGTAAAGCACTTAGAGCGGAAAATGAGGTATTGTTCCTCAACTTGCTTTGTGCTTGGTTGGAACGCTTCAGCAAACCCAGGCTAGAAATGTTAACATGAGGAGCAGATGCTTTCTTGAAATGGCAAGCAACTGAATGGCCAGGGCCATTAGTATGGACAGAGTGGAAATATTCTGTTAAGTGGTCACCTAGTCTGCATTTGGTCTTGCTAAAGTAGAGGAGATTGGTTGCTCACATTACAATGCAGTAGATTAGATTGAAAGAAGTACAGGTGAAACATTGTTTTACCCGGAAGGTATGTGGGGAGCTTTAGACAACGAAGAAGGATGAGGTGAATGGGTAATTTTTACATCTTCTGTTTTTGCATAAGAAGGTGCCATGGGGAAATGAGCAAGTGTTAGGAGGCAGTGAAAGAGTGGACCATAGTCTCACAGGGAATGGTCCCCATGGAATGCTGACAGTGGAGGGGAGCATGTGTTTGGTGATATCCTGCTGGAGGAGGTGGAAATAGTGAGGGATAATCCTTTGAATGCTGGGTTAAGTGGGGTGGAAAATGAGGGAGACAGGTTAGAATGGGTGAGGGGAGCAGAAATTAAGGCGCCTGTGTCACTTTGGCAGTTTAGGTGCAGGTAAAGGCCAGAGGGTGGGGTTCAGGTGAAGGGGGAGTATTGGATTTGGGTAAACAGGGGTCTGTGGCAGAGACAGGATACCTGTCTAAAGAAGTAGCTATGCAAGCAAAGACCACAAAAGAGTTCAATGTTGTGTTGTGCCCAAAATTCATAGAGGTGGGGGCTCAAAGGGATTAAAGTCCTTTGCTGAGCACAGATCGTTCAACATCAGAGAGGGGAAGGTCAGGGGGTACAGTGAATACATGGCAAGGGGTGGGATTAGAAGAAGGAATAGAGTAGAAGGGAGAAAAGGATCCAGAGGGGTATCAGTACTCATATTTTTGGAGCTTGCACTCCCTAACACCAGAAAGGAAGCAAAAATTGTTTCTTGTTAAAGTATCAACTGGTACAAAGAATGAAATGGAGCTGGGCACCAGGTCAGCTGGCACTCAGTAAAAACTGAAAAATCTGCGGACGCTGGAAATTAGAGACAAAAACAGAAATTACTGGAAAAGCTCAGCATGTCTGGCTGCATCTGTGGAGAGAAATCAGAGTTAACGTTTCTGGTCCAGTGACCCTTCCTCAGAAGTCCATTCTGAGTTCAGACCTGCTGAGCTTTTCCAGCAATTTCTGTTTTCGTACCTGTAATCCTGGGTTGGTTTGAAGGATGGAGGTTGGAATATCAGTTGGAATCGCTGCAGGGTAAGGCAGAGACAGCCACTGAGGAAGGAGATGGAGCTGTGAAAGTGAGTTTTAGCAAGCACTTTAACCATCGCTAGGAGGGAGTCAGAAAGCAATGAAGGAGAACATGCTGAAAGATTTGAATGGAAATCCTGTAGGACTGAAGAGCAGAACTTCTCCAAGGTGGGCAACTTGGAAGAAATATGGCAGTGAATTAACCACCTGAGGAGGGACTTGAACCCAGGCTTCCTGGCCCAGAGGTAGAGATACTACCACTGCATCACAAGAGCCCTCCTAGTCCCTCAGTTGTGTCCAAATAGATGATTTGACACTTCCACCTTAAGGGTGGTTAGGTAAGAAATGCTGGCCTTAGCATCAGTGAGCACATAGCATGAATGATATAAAGAGAAGCTTAATCTGGGTAGCTAAGGAAGCAATATGATACACTGTGAAACTTAGAGTTATATTCACAATGGATTGTTTAAGTTAGATAATGAAATCCATATACATATCATATTGTTCATACAAATATTATTTAACTATGCCCTTGCCTCTCTGTAGGTCCAGAGATGAATTACTCTGTTATCCTTAAGAAGAAACAGATTATAGTTACTGTGCCCCCAGGCCGTGTATTGAAAGCCATGCTGTGTTATAAGCGGGGCATGGTGTGTCGTGAGCTCAAGAATCGCTCCGTTCTGCTGGTAAGAAGCTGACACAAGATAGATCTATTGTGAGGTAATATGCGTTTCAATGTTTCTGCCACAGAATCTTTTTAATATAATCTTATAAAAACCTGATGGACAATGCAACGTTTAGGGTGGCACAGCTGTGCCATGGGTGATGGGACATAGCCTCATCTCAACAACCCCTAGGGTGTGGGCATTGCTGGCAAGGCCAGCATTTATTACCAGCTTTATAAAGTGCTTTCCAGGGGCCAGCTTAGATAAGGTGGGATGGGAGTGACAACATTTTCATAAGTATGTCATTGTTTGTTAAGTGCTTTGGGACATCCTGAGAGCATGGATGCTGTGGCAGAAATATTTATTTATTTTGTGAGGCTCCTTAAGCTATTGGTGTTTTGTGCTTCATGGACACGGTCTGCAGCAGTTCAAGAAGACAGCTCGCCAACACTTTCTGAAGGGATGGCAATGAGTATTGGCACAGCCAGCAATGACCATGTCCTGTGAGTGAATAAAAAATGTGTTGCGAGAAACAGGAATATCAGACAGAAGCAGAAATTTTGCAAGATCAGTGAGTTATTTTCATAAACTGGCTACCTGTGTAACTTGTGGTCTATCCCTTTGGCAGTGTAACGTTGATACGTATAAGCAAACATTTAGCGTATTGATAGCTTTTGCTGCTGTAGGCTTTGTGTGTTATCCTGTCTCATTTTGGGTAAAATGTTGTACTGCAGGAGTCTATCTGTGCACTTACTAGACCAGATTGAAGCTAAAGCTTATCCTCTGGCCATTTTATACTCCAGATTATTTCAATCTCTTTTTCGCTGGGGAAATGCCACAGTAATCCAAAACCCCAGTCTAATATTCTGTGATCGTGTGTTTGAATTCCATCTTGACAGATGATAAAGTTTGGAATAAAAACAACAGTCTAATGGTGACCATGTAACTGCTGACAAATGTCATTAAGGAAAAAACTCATCAGGTTCACTAATGTCCATTTAGGGAGGGAAATCTGTCATCCTTACCTGGTCTGGCCTGCATGTGACTCCAGAACTGCAGCAACATGGCTGACTCTTATCTGTCCTCTGAAATGGTCCTAGCAAGCTGCACAGTTCAAGGGGCAAATGGGAGGGGGCAATAAGTTGCTGGATGAGCCATGAACTAAATAAAAAAAAAACAAAAAAAACTTGACTGTCCAGAATATGTTCTAACTTTTGATATGCTTTATATGTATCATTGCAGATTAACAGCACGTCCTCTCTCTTCTATGAGTACCTGCTTCCTTGCCTCTGCATCCAGGTAATGATGATGCTTCAAGTCTTCAGTTAAGCCTTTTCTTTGGATGTTTCATTATATCTCCAAGCTAGTACCGTGCAGACCCCATATTACTTTTCATGACAATTTCCAGTTCAGGACCCTTTGTTACTGTGTAGACAAGTTTGTTTTGAATAAAGAAAGATCTGAGGCAGTGGGATGGCAATGCCCTGATTATGAAAACACACTGAGCAGGGACTTGATTACATCAAGGGTTTATGCCTTTCATTTTAAATTGGCCAAGCAATGTCATTATTGAAGGAAGCACAGGGGGGAAGGAAGGATTGGATGGCAGTTTCCTTCCTTCTATTCTCATTCTTCATGAATGTTGTTAGATCAGGAGAACCAGGCTGGTTTGTAATGGGCATCCTATCTGCTCCCGACTGCCAGCTATGTGCCTACCACCTCCCAACCACAATTCACCACCACTTCCAAAGCTTTACATTAACCTCTGAATGCCTGCAGCCTTTTTGATCATGGTGTTTTTTTTGCCAGGAAGAAATATTTCTTCTGCTTTCATGTGAACCCCCCAGATACTGCAGTTGTCATTTAATTATTGGCTCAATTTTATTAGCACAAAATTTCCATTTTCCTGCATTAATGCTGACACATTCAAACTCTCAGACCCGAGAATCATTGTAAGTTGATTTGTACTAATATTTTGATCCCAAGAAAAATGTCCATCTTAGATTGGCCCATGTCCTGATATTAACATCTCTGAATCTGCAGTGTCAATTGGCAGAGGTGAAGGATTTTTTTAAAGTGCCTGGAATGTTTGTAGTACCTTTAACTTTGGTGTTTGCAGAAATCTTCTCCAAAGCCGGGCTGGCTTCTGGCCTGCTGTTTTTTTTTTCCCCCAGATCTCCCCCCAGCCCTGAATCACTACCCTTGTGACACCTCAGCCCACCAATCTCCCAAATTGGGAGGGCAGCCAGAACAACATGAGTATCTGGAGATGGTGGGCGGGTTGTTCTCCACTTGTTGCTAGGCATCTCCCGCTTAAAAGATGGCTGCATTGGGGTCCCACTCTCTCCTGACTGAAATGAGGAAGAACCGAAATGAGGACCAGAACCCCAATGAGCGCATACCCACCTCTGGTAGTGTGAATGAAGGATGCCCTGAGATAGCTTTGACCCTGATGAATGCTCCTTCAGTTCCCAGGACTGGTGCCAGAATGACCCCTCCAAACCCATGTTCTGTCCCTTCAGTCAGGGATTCTGTCTCTTGAGGGGCAGCCAGGGCAGGAGAGAGGCAACATGTCATTGGAGGAGTTGGAGAGTGACAAGATTCTGATTGGAGGAGATGCCCTTCAGACTCTGCCTCTCATGTCCATGGGATGACTTGCCTCTGGTTATTCCAGTGATTACATTTGAGGGCTTTTAGGGGCAATTTTGCCTCCTGCGTCCCTGTATTTTGAGCCCTGGTGTTCACTCACTCAACATCTATCCAGTGAAATGCACATTGGGAATTAATGGGAATGACAGTGTGAAACTATAAATGTAGCCTCCCCTTAACTCTAACTTACCTTCCACTTGTAAGGGTCCTACCGCGAGTTGGCTAACTCAGCTAAGGCTGGGTTATTAAACCATGAGTGCTCACTTCATGAGTTTGCTGAGTTATCAAGGAACATATCTGAATTTCTATCACCAGTTCTATTGTATTTTTATCAGTGGAGAAAGCTTAACGTAAAGTGTTGACCTGCTTCATTTCTTTAGGTCTTTTACCCTGGGCTTGATAGCAGTCGGACAACAGTTTGTCCATTCACCAATACCCCGAAAGCCTGTGAGTATAGTGCAAAAATAATCAAATGCTTTGAGGATGTGCTTAAACTAATAAAAAACACAAAGTTAGTCATAGACAATGTTTCGAATGGAGAAAGGAAACTGAGCAAGGCATACACCAAAAAAAGTCATTCTGTGAGGAAGAGATTTAAATATATGTCGACATGTTTGATTACTGGAATAAAAAATAGCAGATTAACTTTAATGTGTGTAAATGTACGGTTGAACACTCTGGAACATTAACTATGAAACATGGATGTACCAATTGAATGAGAAAATAATGTTTATATTATCAAATATTCACTGACAATCCTGTCATGGTATTGTCATTAATGTAGCTATTAAGATGATTGCTGGTCATAATTAATTAGTAAATTCAAACCAGTTGTTTTATTTTACTCTTACGTTGATCAACTTACATTTGGAGTATTTGAACTTCACCTTCAAAATGTATTGATTATATTTACATTAATTTGAGGTGAGTATAAGTAAATTTGATGATGAATTTCACCTCTGTAGACCTGAAGCTCCAGGCTGTGCACAGCATGTGTTAGTGTTCAATCCGAGCTTCTTATATTAGGAAGGATGTCAAGTCCTTGGAGAGGAAGCAGTGGGGTTTCCTCACCAGGCAAGAGGAGGGTTTAGTTATGAGAATAGATGTGAGAACCTGGCACTAAAATAAAAGCCAGATACTGTGCATGTTTGAAATCTGCAGTAGAAACAGAAAATGCTGGAGAAGCTCAGCAGATCTGACAGCATCTGTGAAGAGAGGAACAGGGTTTCTTTTTTTAAAAATTCACTTGAGCGACACAGATGTATGTGTCACTGGCTGGACTCGACATTTATTGCCTGTCCTCAGTTGTCCTCGAAGGTGGTGCTGAGCTGCTTTCTCAAATCGATGCAGTCCATGTGCTATAGACCCACAATGCTGTTGGGGCAGGAGTTCTCGGATTTTGACCCAGTGACACTGATGGAACGTTGACATTTCCAAATCAGGATGATGAGTGGTTTAGGAACATATGAACCAGGAGCAGGAATATGCAATTCAGCCCCTCAAGCCTGCTAATCATAGCTGATCTCATCTCTGCCTCACTTCCATTGTCCTGCCCGCTCTCCATGACCCTTCAACCCATTACTGGTTAAAAATCTGTCTATCTATTTCCTCAGTGTCACTCAATATCCCAGCATCCGGCGCACTCTTGGGATAATGAATTCCATAGATTCACAATGTTTGAGAAAACCGTTAATAATGAAGCATATATTAGGTACAGTGCATTAAAACAGGGGAGGCCATTCAAAAGTATATAGGGTGTAGGAAGTTAATTAAAAAAGAAATATCTTTGGCAGATGAGATCAAGGAAAACCCACTGGGACTTTTTCCTCAGGAGCAGAGGAGGTTGAGGGATGCATTTATAGAGGTTTATAAATCATGAGGGACATAGATAAGGTGAATATCAAAGGTCTTTTCCCAGGGGTTCGGGAATTGTAAGATGAGAGGAGAAAGATTTAAAAGGGATCTGAGGGGCAACTTTTCCACACAGAGGATGGTTCATATGTGGAATGAACTGTCATAGGAAGTGGTAGATGCCGGTACAGTTATAACGTTTAAAAGACATTTGGATAAGTTCATGAATGGGAAAGGTTTAGAGGGATATGGGCCAAACGCAAGCAGGTGGGACTAGTTTAGTTTGGGAAACTTGGTTGGCATGGGGGAGTTGGACCGAAGGACCTGTTTCTGTGCTGTATGATTCTAAGTATATTAAGAGTGAGAGGATTTAGGGTAAGAATGGGACTTAGTAGGGACCAAAGGGGCAACCAGTGAATGTGGGTGAGGTCTTAAATTAATACTCCCCATCTGTATTCACAGAGGGGAAAGACATTATATCCGGGGATTTCATTTGGGATGGTGAGGCTGTAGAACATATTGAGATTGTTAAGGAGGAGGTATTAGATTTTCTAGCTGGCATAAACATGCATAAATCCCCAGGGCCTTATAAGATGTATCCCAGGCTGCTATGGGAAGCAAGGGAGGAGTTTTCTGGGGCCCAAATGGAGATTTTTAATATTTCACTGGCCACAGGTGAAGTGCCAGATGACTAGGGAATAGCTAATGCAGTACCTTTATTCAAGAAAAGCAGCAGAAATAGACCAGGTAATTACAGACCAGTTAGTCTGACATCAGTGTGAGGGAGATTATTGAAAAACAATTCTGAAGGACAGGATTAATCAACCCTTGGAAAGGGAGCGATTGATCAAGGGCATTCAACATGGATTTGCTGGAGGGAGATCCTGTCTGACTAATTTAATTGAGTCTTTTGACATGATGACTAAATATATTGATGAGGGTAGTGCAGTCGATGTGGTTTACATGGACTTCATCAAGGCCTTTGATAAGGTCCCACATGAAATGCTGGTCCAAAAGGTAACAGTCCATGGGTTCCAAGGCAAGTTGGCAAACTGGATCCAAAATTCCCTTGCAAATAGGAGGCAAAGGGTGATGGTGGAGGGCTGTTTGTCTGACTGGAAGCCGGTGACCAGTGGTGTGCCACAGGGATTGGTGCTGGGATCTTTGCTGTTTGTTATGTAACAACTTGGATGTGAACGTAGAAGGTACATTTAGTAAGTTTGGTCGTGATGTTGATAGTAAGAACGGTGTTCTCAGGCTACAGTCTGATATTGATCAGTTGGTAAATTGGGCAGAGCAATGGGCAGGTGGAATTTAATCCTAATAAGAGTGAGGTCCTGTAAGAGAAAGATATCTACAATGAATGGTAGGTGCCTGGAGAGTACTGAGGAACAAAGGGACCTTGATGTATTAAAAAAAAATCAAAATACCCGTTGCTATTGGGATAGTGTCCTCCACTGTGAAAACTGAAGCAAAATATTGATTTAGTAAATCTGCCATTTCTGTGTTCCCCACTGTTAACTCGCCATTCTCATCCTCCAAGGTACCAACATTCACTTTTAGAATTTGCATTTGCAAACTTACTAAATGTACCTTCTACGTTCACATCCAAGTTATTACATAACAAACAGCAAGGATCCCAGCACTGATCTCTATGGTACACCAGAGGTCACAGGCTTCCAATCGCAAAAAAAAACTCTACACCCATCACCCTTTGCCTCCTATTTGTAAGACAATTTTGGATCCAGTTTGCCAACTTTTCTAAGATCCCATGGGCTCTTACCTTTTGGACCAGCATTCCATGTGGGCCCTTGTCAAAGGCCTTACTGAAGTCCATGTAAACCACATCGACTGCACTACCCTCATCAATATATTTAGTCACCTTCTCAAAAAATTCAATTAAATTAGAAGCTTTTGCTATTCATTTTTATTTTGTGCCATTTGTCTTCCATAATTCACTTTTTCTCTTTTTATGACTTTTCAGTAACCCTTTGATCTTTACAAGGTTCCCAATTTTCCAGCCTTCTGTTCACCTTTGCAATATAGTTTGCCTTAATTTTTGTCTTAATATTATCTTTAACTTTGTTGCTTACCCCATGGATGATTTTCTCCTCCGAATCTTTCTTCTCTTTTTGGAATGCATTTTATTTGGGATCAATTTAATATGTTCTCAAACATCTACCACTGTTCATCAACTGTCTGACCTTTTTAGTCTTCCTGCCCAGTCCACTAGAGCCAGATGTGTCCTCATACCTATGTAATTACGTTTGTTTAACTCCAGAATTTTAGTGGAGGGTTCAGTTTCTCATTCTTCTACTGAATTTGCAGTTCTAGCATGCTATGATCACTCGTCCCTAGAGCATCCTTTACTGAGATCATTAATTAATTATTCCACCTCATTTGAAATCCAGAATAGCCTTGAAGGGAACTTGCAGGTGCTGGTGTTCCCATGTATCTGTGCCCTTCGCCCTCCAGATGGAAGCAGTCATCATTTGGAAGATGCTGTCTAACGAACCTTTGTAAATTTCTTCATTTGCAAACATGCAATGGTTAACATTTCAAGTCCAATATGATTTCTTTTGAAACTGAACTAAACTACTAACACCCACTTTGGCCCCATGCTTTGTCCCTTTACCGATGCCATTGTTGCTTTCCCATTTTTCCATGACATCTTCAATCTCCACGGATCTGTCTTTTTCTTCTGCCAGATGCTCATCCCAACTCTTCAACAACATAGAACCTGTCACATTTCTACCTCCCTTCTGTTCCAAAGGATCAACATATTGGACTCAAAATGTTAACTCTGTTTTTCTCTCCACAACCTTGCTGAGTTTTTTCAACCTTTTTTTTAAACTTGAGGATCTGGGAACATTGTGTATTGAGCAGGTAAGGTTGATGGGAAATGTAATAGAGAGGCATGGTTTCAGTAAAATAGATAGGGAGAAAGTATTTCTGCTGGGAGGTGAATTGATAAGCAGGAGACACCAATTAAAGATAATTGGCAAAAAATAGTGTAGGGAGATGAGGAACCTTCATGAGTTTTGATCTGGACTGCTTTGCCTGAAGGAATGATAGATGCAGATTCAGTGACAACCTTCCAAAGTGCATTGGATTTATCCTTGAAGAGAATGTAAGCAGAATGCAAAGTACTGGACTATTTGGATAGTTCTTTTCGAGAGCTAGCAAAGGCATAATGGGGCGAATGGCCCGTTTCTTTGCTATAGGACGAATTTTGCAACAGTTGTGTGCAACATGCTCCTTGGAAACCAAAAGCAATTGCATTGTTTCGCCTTAATTTATTGTGCAGTTTGAAGTTTACTTAATAATCTTTCGGAACAGTTGGCCCTGATCTATGGAAGTCGAGCAATTTCTCGGATCTGATTCATCATAACAACAGCATGGCAGTTCGTCTCACTGGGAAATGCCACATTAAACCAAGTGTGGTCCTCTGCTGGAAATCCAATGGAATCTGTGAGGAGTTTGAGGAGTCAGCTGCTGAGTTCTCAAAGTCTGTAAGTGATATTCTAACCATGCCACCAATCACTGGGAGGGTTTTTGCTCAATGACATCAAGGGATATGCGATAAACAGCAGTGTGCTCATGCTTTCACAGTTCTTGTGACATACTTCTCTACCAGCAGTGAAGCCTTTTGCACAGTTAATGCCAAGAACAAAAATATATAATGGGTTTAATCTGAATGAAACAGAATGTACAGCATGGAAACAGATATATGACTGAAAAGATTAGTTTTTAATGTTAATAATTCAGTTGGCAGTCTGATCATTGTCTTTATGGCAGTAGATATCCTGATAAACATGAATAATAAATCCTCTATTAATGAATATTCTGTTTTAAGTGTACAGTGATAATTTTGCTGCATGGAAGATTTCCACATGGATATAAAGCTCAAACAGAACCAGGATCCAGATTGCATCATTTTGATTTCTTCCATTCTCCTTCAAGTGCAAACATGAGGGGTCTTGTGGAATTATTTATGACCTTGTTTGTAAATCTCTCAACTGAATAATCTGTTCAAAGTGACATTTAACTGTGTTGCACTGGAGTGCACCAGTCTGCAAACTTAACTTAGACATTTATTAACAAGCCACCTAACCACAGTTCCAAATGAAATAGCATTTTGTTGTCTTCTCACTGATAGTGTTTTCTGCTGCTTTTAGAATACAATTGAAAAGTTTTAGTGTAACAGATCTTCATCCTTGCATTTGATTGCCAGCATTTTAAGATAATCAGATAAATAACTTGAGCAAGGCATAGTTTGCATCAAATCTGTTAAGTGATTGTCCATGATAACCCAACATTTGTAGAAGTCTAATTTCCCAATCAACTGGTCTTGCACTTTCTGAAATCCATCCGGTGTAGATTCTTTGGGCCTCTCTATTAAATCTAGAGAGCATTGGTCTCCAAGTCAGAAAAAAAATCACAACAACATTGTACAGATCCATTTATGAAATCAGTTCTGAAGAATGGTGTAGTTTATATTCTTCTTTCCTTAAGAGGAAAAGAGACACTCGACTAAAGGTACAGAGACAAGTGACAAGGATGACCTCAGACCTTGAAAGACTGAGTTATGAAGAAAGGCACAATACTTGAACTTCCCCTGAAAATAGAAAATTGATTCAAACCCTGAAAGTGAGGTGCGGATGGTGACAGGGTGCAGGGGTGTGGAGGGTGGAAGTGGTCAGAAACCAGATGCAAAAGTCAAAGCATCAAATAGGTTAGAGTTTAGAAAAGGTTTCATCAAAAAGCCATTGTGACATGATGTGAAGGAGTGGGCTGATTAATGAATGAATGAATGACCCCTCCTGGATGAAATCCTTCCCCCTCCCCTGGCTCACTAATATCTTCAATGTGGAATCCATGGGGCAGTTACTGAAAGGCTGTGATATATTTCTGTTCGGAGACCCTTGATGAGCTGTGCACAGGCTCCCTCTTGTGTAAGAGGCCGGCGTTGCATCACATTGATTTTGTTCTCAGGGACGTGACCCTGAGACCTCCCATTGGTTTCTCATCCTTTTATCCAAAATGGTCCCTCTCCACTGTTTGGATTCTCTCATGTTATTTGACTGCATATTATTAACAGTATGAGCTCTGTAAATCTTCCTTGCTGTTATATAAGTTTCTGTAACATGCACAATTTTTGTTCCTGTGTCATACAATGTATGCAAAGATATTGACAAAGGAGATTCTCAAGGTTGATGAATTCAGAGGATATAACCTCTTACAGCTGGGCTTCCCAGGACCCCTGGGCTAAACATTTGGGGTTCTGACCTCTGAAGCAGCAAGGGCTGCTTTGGGGCTCTGGCCAAATTATAACACCAGTGTTCCTGCTCTAACAGGTCCCTTTTTTAAAAAATTCACTGATGGGTTGTAGGTGTCACTGGTGGGCCAGCGTTTATTGCCCATCCCTACTCGTCCTTGAGAAGGTGGCAGTCATGTGTTGTAGACAGACCCACAATGCTATTCAGGAGGGAATTCCAGGATTTTGACCCAGAGATGGTGAAGGAACAGCAATATATTTCCAAGTCAGGATGGTGAGTGGCTTGGAGGGGAACTTGCAGGTGGTGGTGTTCCTATGTATCTGCTCCACTTGTCCTTCCAGATTGAAGTGGCTGTGAACTTGGAAGGTGCTATCTAAGGACCTTCGGTGGATTTCTGCAGTGCATCTTGTAGATAGTACACACTGCTACTACTGAGCGTTGGTGGTGGAGGGAGTGGATGTTTGTGGGTGTAGTGCCAATCAAGCAGGCTGCTTTGTCCTGGATGGTGCCAGACTTGTGTGGTGTTGGAGCTACACCCATTCAGGCAAGTATGCCATCATACTCCTGACTTGTGCCTTGGATCTGGTGGACAGGCTGTGCGGAGTCAGGAGATGAGTTACTTGCTGCATTATTTCTAGGCTGTGACCTGCTTTTGTAGGCAGTTTGTTTACCTGGCTGTTCCAGTTCAGTTTCTGGGATTTTAGGATGTTAATAGTGTCACAGTCCCAGTTCCCCTCACCAGTCTTCATTGAAGGATCGTGACAATTTGCAAGACTCGAGCTGGAGCTACAGTGGGAAAATGTTTGGGAAGCACCGTTTATTAGGGAGAACTGAATAGGCCTGGACACTTCTCTCCAGCAAACAGAATGCTGGGGTGACTGAATGGAGGTTTGCTTTCGATAATGAAAGGAATCAATGGGGTAGATGTAGAGAAAGCGCGTCCACTTCTTGAGAAGGTGCTGACGAATCAAATCCAGGAATACAGGAGAAACTTTGGATCCTACAGAGTATGTAGAAGATTTTCACAGGCTAGCTTCTTCTGCCCACCAGAGATTCTTGAAGTTGTCAGAACAAAAAGAACAAGGAAAAAGTGCCAGAGAGAAAAGAACACGTCTGTATTTTGACCGAAAACACAAACAGAAATTGCTGGAAAAGCTCAGCAGATCTGTGGAGAGAAATCAGAGTTAACGTTTCGGGTCGAGTTTGGCTCCAGTGTTTGCTGGAGAGAGGTGTCCAGGCCTGTTCAGGAAGGAACACTTGACCTGAAATGTTAACACTGATTTCTCCCTCCAGACCTGCTGAGCTTTTCCAGCAATTTCCGATTTTGTTTTTGATTTACAGTATCTGCAGTTCTTTTGCTTTTTATTTTGTATTTTGCCCATTTTAATCAGAGCTGAAGAGCAGCGGGTCAGTCTAGGTGGAATTGGATGATGGATGTCACAGAGCAGTTGTAGGTGAGCTATAGTGGATTTGTGAGAAAGCATAGATGCAACAACATACTGTAATAAACTCTCTCAAGGTCTCATGTATGTGTGCGTACATGTATAACAGAATAAACAGGCTTAGTTTGGTTGACCTTCCATGTGTTGCATGCTGTTTCAGATTGTCCTGAAAATACAGGCTGATGGATTTCCAAGAATTCCTTGTAGGAGTAGCTTACAAACAAGACGACCTAGTATTCACATTATAAGTTGCTGATGCTTTCTTTTCCTCTACTGTGCAGGTCTATGTGTTTGAGAGCGTTGACAGGCATTCTCAGATGTGCTTTAAGGTAATTGATAGTCTCACTTTACTTACAATTATGAAGGCTTCAACTCACCGCCACATCTCCTGATCCCTGCGCTACCTCCAATTTGTCACGTTATTTATCTGATGTTCCGCGCTGCATGAGCATAAAATTCCTCCGACTAAACATGACAAAGACAGATGCTATAGCTTTGGCCCTGTCACAAATTCTGTTTCCCCCACACTGCTCTCCCCACGCCTCCTCTCCCTAACAGTTCTTTGAGGCTGCTCAGAAGCTCCATGCTAAATTTGACCCAGAGGCGAAATTGAGAATATTGAAGTTCCAAGGAGCTTGGGTGTTTTCCTGCTGGGGACATGGAGCTGGCACACTGGTGTAGCAAGTGCTGCAAAAGACTAATAACACTTTTAACTCTTCTTTGCAAGGGGGTTGGAGTTGGCAGAATAAAGAAGCCTTGCCACAATTGGACAGAGCTTGGTGAGATCACACCAAGACTGAGCGAAAGTCTGGTCCGGTGCCAGCTGGATCTTTGTTTCCTAGCACCAGCCCACGCTTGGGTCATTTTGTGGGGGAGGAATTGGCAGAGTTCCTGCCTGTATACAGTGGATAAGTGACCTGGTTTATTAAGAGCCAATTTGAGGCCAGTTAAAGAAGACCTGCTGGAATTTATGGGCAGGTGGTGGGGGTCAGTTTAGCTGGCATCAGTGGTGAAGGGGTGTAGTGGATAGTGATATGGACTGGCATAGAGGCCTTTCCTTCCTTGCCAGCTGCCCTTTAGAAATGTGCCATCACAGTGGTGGCTTGGCTGCGGGGCAACTTTTAAGTTTAACTTCTGACAAGATGCCTCTGTTTTTAACCCCTCTGCCTTATATTTGCCTTCCATTGCAAACAGCTGCTCCTTTAGAAATGGGCAGTGCCCAGTCAGCCTCCAGTTTCTGAAAAGCTGCATCTGCCGTCTTTCATTACGATGAGCCTGTCCTCTGAGCCCTGGGGGAGAAAAAAAAATCTCATTTGACCATTTCCCTCACAGTCTGGTGCCTGAGGTTGGGAATCAACAACCTGCTGGGAAAATCCTGCTCCAGGTCATTAGAGGTCAGCTAGTACAGCAGCCGGGACCATGAAACACATTAGACACCAACCTCCCCACAGACATAAATTTGCTTACAATGAGGAAGTTAAAGCACAGGACTGTTTCTGAGAGAGATTTTCCCGATTATTGAATTTACCTGAAACAGATAGAAGAGCTGGTAGCGAGGACGAAATTGGCACAGTTGTGTGGTGTTATGCTCCAGAAATGGTTACGGAGATAGCCATCAGCAGCATGTTGTTTCTGGCCTCATGAATTTAGCTTGTAATCAGGGGTTATCTATGGCAATGACTCATGAGTGCAGAAAGTGTGCTAGTTTTAGCAGCATTATTGACATGACGCCAATAACATGATACCTTTCTGTGTTTGCAGTTTAAATATAAAAACAGCAGCCACATTGAGTGCCGAAACAGACCAGGTATGTTAAATTAATAAACAATGTTTCTGACAGCAAAGTTCACCACTTTTAAAATGAGCCTTTGTACCTCAGTACTCAGGGAGACCAATGACCTGTGCTTCAGTAATCACAAGGAGAACGGGAACAAATACAATGAATTTACCAGGAACTTCCTCTCTGCTATTTGAGCCCAAAACACCCAAGGCTAACCCCAGGCAGTACTGAGGGAGTGTTGAACTGTCAGAGGTGCTGATTTTTAGATCAGGTGTGAAACCAAGTTTCCATTTGTCTCCTCAGATAACAAACTTCATATGCCACTGTCTGGAAGAAAAGAACTGGAGTTATCCCCAGAGACCTAGGCAATATCTGTCCCTTATTCAACATCACATTATGACATTGCTGTCTCTGGGAACTTGCTGTGTGGAAATTGGCTCCATGTTTCCTATGTTCCAGCAGCGACTGCATTTCAAATGTAGACGTGGCTGTGAACAGCACTATGTAAATGCAAGCCTGTCTTTTTACCTTTGCTCTTGCTATCAATCTGGGTGAGATGGCAAGAATGAGCTTGGTCTGGGTCAGGTGGGAAGAGAAATTTTTGCTCTGTGCAAGATTTTGGAGGCAAAACTGCTCTGGATTAGTGACATGGCCATTCATTTCTGTTTTTCTCCATTCGAGACAAACTGAAGCAATCCTCATTTTGGGAGTGATGTTGCTGGGGCAGAGGAGGGGGATTGTTGGGATGGGGGCTGGCATGGTGGGGGTGGGCAGTTATACTAATGCCCACAAAAGAACTTGGATTTTTGATAACCCAATGCACTTGAACTCCTTTGGTGAATTAAAGCAAATCTATAATTTGAATAGGTAAAATTGGGACTGTGTATTATTTTTTAAATATTATAACTTACTGATCGTATCTAAACCGGTTAACTAACGTCCCAGAAACGCTCTCATTTTCAGACACTGACTGGAATGTGACGATGGTGACAGGATCAAACCAACTCTTGCTGACCTTTTCTGCACACATCCCAGCATCCTTCAGTGCTGTGCTATGCAAGACAATAAGGGAGGAATGCAAAAACCTAACTCTAATCCACAGTGTGACCCAGGTTAGAACTGCGCACAATATCTCAACTTTACAAACTGCGGGATTATGCCTATTGTGGTCCTGTTAGCTAATACAAAATAACTTGTTTGTTTTTAAGCAGCGGATATAAATGTAGACGACTGGACTGACTTTCAAAAGAAACTGTATTTCCGTGCAGTCAGCTCAGAGACCATTAAAATAATCTTGTTGCTTGTGAACCGTGAAAGCCAGGACAACAGACAGAGAACTTTCTAGATCATCGGATCTGTCCAATGCCATTGAAATGCGTTGTGTATCACAATATATACAATATATACAAATTGTGAGGGCAATTTGAGGGGAAAAAATTTGAATAATTCTTCTTTGACTCTTTAAAGCTAGTCCATGGGATTCGTTATAATGGTGTCAGTATCTGCACATCATATAAGGGAACCTCACGCCCAGCCAGAAACCATTCCAGCTCTTGCTTGAAAGTGGCAGCCTGTTTCAGACCTCTAATATTTACTTGGAGAAAGATCACCTCCTGACATCCACCAAGATCAGGTCTTTTACAACGAGATATGGGACAAATTGTTTACTCAAATCAAACCCACGATCATTCGTATAAACCTTGATGTAATCACCTCATCCTCTTAAAGTTGAACTCTTTATCTAATCTGGTCACTAAAATGCTTCAAACTTGGCGTTAGTCTTGTGGTGCTCCTCAGCTGCCTTTCCAAGGAAACTAATATCTAAAACATTATTATAACTGAGGCCTGACCAAGACCTTGAAAATGGCAAAATATTCTAACTGAGGCAAGATTGTTGCTTTAACTTTATAGTCAATAGTTTGGGAAGTACAACCCAACACCCTATTTGACATTGCTATCTCTACACTTCATTGCACAGAGTCTACTTAAAGGTCAATGTACTAGAATGTCTTGATATTTCTTTTTTTGCATTATTTCCCAAAGATGTATTCACATTTACTAGCATGAACAAACTATTGATGTATTGATTTTCCCCAACTGGTGTCCAGATCAGGGGTACGGATTTGGTGAGAAAGTATTATATGCTTTACCCCGTAAGTGCTCCTTGACTCCAACCTTCAATACGTTTCTACTCCATTTGTGTGACAGTTCTGTTTCAAGTTTTCTTGAAAAACACTGCCCATTGCATTAAGGTTGCATTTAGTTTGCCAGCTCTGATTCACTATGAAAGGGTTTGTATCTAGGACTTTTACAGCTGACAGGCACCAGAAGCCCCATTCTCTGTTAAACTGTTTTTAACTTCTTCTTTCGATTTATTTGTGAGAGGGTGTAAAAACAGCAAACTTTAGACCAAGATTCTATTTCTAGAAAGAGGGAGTTTTGTTTTGTTCGAAAAACAGCAGCAATGTGATAAACCTGTATCAAACCTCTAGTTAGACCATCTCTAGAGTACTACAGTATGTGCAGGTCTTGGCACTGGAGATGATGCAGAGAAGATATATGAGGGTGATTCCAAGAATAAATGGTTACACACTTCAGGGAAGGATTGACAGACTGGGTCTACTCGCTCTCTTGAAAAATCAAAGCTGAAGAGTGACCCAATAGGGGGCTTTAAAATGAAAGGTTTTCAGAGTTTCCTATTATGGGGAGGAGCATTCAAGATCATCAGTAGAAGATGGTCACCCTAAGAAATCCAACAGGGAATTTAGAAGAAGTTATATTCAGAGTGGTAAGAATGTAGAATACACTTCCATAGTATGAGGGAGATGGTTACAATCATGGATTTAGCTTAGGAAAGATTGGGAAGAGATTTGAGTGGAGCATAAACATTGGCATGGATTCCCTTGGGCCAAATGGCCTGTTTGTACTATTTATCCTACGTAATCTCAATGAATGCTTCAGTCTTAAAATCTTTTATTCTTCTCAGACTGAGTTCAGCACCCAGAAGCTCCTTATGATCTTGCCTGCAGAAAGCCATGAATTCTGTGTAAGGGTGAGTAACTCATCGATTATCTTAAAGGAATTTGGAGGGGAAGATTTCTCTATTTTTATTAGAAATATCAGCTTGTGAATGTGGGAAATCCTGTAGATATTTGTGATTAACCTGTTCAGACATGTTATGACATACCTCTGAAGCAAGTGGGACTTGAACCCAGGCCTCCTGACCCACAGGGTTGGGGGACACTACCTACGGGAGCCCTGGAAATTCTGTATTCTGCTCTTCAATAGTGGCTTCTTGAATAAGGTAAACATGAGAGATTTCTCTATTCCTCTTTCGTCAACTCCTTTCCCTTTATCCCAGGAGAAAGAACCAGACAGCTTAATGAAACTGTTGGTAAAGAGACATTAATAATGCATGAACTTGACTCAACAAAATCAGTAAATCATCCATTAGCAGAAACTGTGGTGAAATCTTGAATAAGAACAACTACAGATATTAGATGTTCTGTTCCCACTTTGTTGTCCTAAAACACCTTTGGTTTGGGGGATTCATCCATCAAACTTTGTGGTGTGCGAATCTGATACAATAATAGGCTAGAAATGACTTACTGTGGAAGAATGATTAACTGAATGGGCTAATTCTGCTAGCAAAGGGATAGAAATGACTGACTGTGGAAGAATGATTAACTGAATGGGCTAATTCTGCTAGCAAAGCAGTGTGATTGCGTAGGGACAAATTGATATCTATGTTACGGTCATCTTCCAATAGTGACTTCTAGCCAACTGTGAGTAAAAGAGAGATCTGAATTGACAATGTACTACAGCAGAAGCATTCAGCAAATTGGTCACTACATGTTGGAAGTCCTTTTGGGTCTCAAAGGATCCTAACCTGTTCTTCAAGATTACTGTGAACCAACTTAACTCTATGTGGCTGCCATAATGGATAGCTTTTAAGTCCTAATGTGGAGAGCAAGTGACTTCCGATTCCTAATGGTGTGGGAATGCTTTGGAGCGGCAGTGTTCGGATATTCGATGGCAAACCCATTAGTGGCTCTCACATGAAGTTTTGTATGATAATATAAGTTTTCGTACAGGAGTTCTATCAGAAATACATCTGGATGCAGTACAGTGTTAGCTTGTGTTTACTTGCCCATGAAATTTTCTATTTGGTGAGAATCCAATGATTTATCAATGGTTCCTCCACACTTGTTGAATTGGAGTACAATATTAGAATTTATGGATCCTCCATGAACTGCAAAAACTAGAAATAATGGCAAGAGGTGGCAGTAAGATCAAAAGAAAGTTGTTGTTTAACTTAGTCTAATAAGAAGCAGTTTAGAAAATTTGGTCAACATCTTTTTAATATCTCTCTCCCAGGTGTGGCGTTCTGATGTGGTCTTCTCTGGGAAGCAGTTGCTTTGTCCACAACGTAAGTGTTATGGTTTATTTCATCAGATTTTTTTAAAAAAGAATTGCTGTACAAGACATTGGACATGTCCTGAGGATCTTTTATATTCTGCCTTTGAGTTTCTGTTAAATTTAAAAAGCACATACTTCAGTTACCAGAAGAATTAATATTTCTCTTGAAAGCAGTCTATTAGATGATCTGTTTCCCACTTGTTTTCTGAAATGTCCCTTTTTTTGCTTGTTGCTTTACAGACTTGCATCATTGGCTACGGCTGGGACTCTTGAGTACACTGGTTATGTTAGCTGTTACACCACTGCTGGTTTATATGGTCTGGAAGTTGGCAACTAAAGTTATATCAGGTAAGATAAACATATAACAACAGTCATGCAGCACAGTGGGAGGCTATTAGTCCCTTGTTAAAAAAAATGATTGAAATCACTCCAGTGCTCCTCTTTCCCATGGCACTGCTAATTTCTCATTTTCAAGCCTGAATCCAAATTTCTTTTGCAAGTTTTTATTGGATCTGCCTCTGCCATCATTTTCAGTCAGTGCATTCCGGATCACTGGAACTCAGTGTACAGGATAAAACAAAATCCTCATTGAGGATGGGTTTGTTTGATATCATAACACACCAAATTGTTTTGGAATCAATCCTATTGATGTCACAGACAAAAAGTCTCATTGGTGTAAATTCTGCGCGCTGACTGCAAATTGAACATACCGTACAAAAGCTTTCAGTGCAGAGTGATGCTCACGCAGCAATCCCCAACCATCCTTCGCATACTTGACATAAATTTGATCATCTTTGATTCCTGCACATTTTTATATCCTTCTGCAGTGGCGGTTGATAACTGTACAGAGGGTCTCCTCTCAAATCCATGCAAGCCACAGCTGCTTCCGGGAGAGGGAGGGAAATGAGATATCGTGCTCTATTAAGGAACATCAGCTACGATCAACATCAAACAGCCCTCACTGGAAACAGTGAACATTGAGAAGAACCAAAATTTGTTTTAGCACTGATTTGTCTGCCAGCATTTGATATTAAATCTCTCAAATGAAATGTAGCTGTAAGATAAAAAGTATAGAATGAAGGCTGGTGCCTGGGGAACCATTATTGAACATCACCCTTTTCCAAGCAGGATAGTGATATTTATTCACAACAAAAACAAAGTTGCTGGAAAAGCTCAGCAGGTCTGGCAGCATCTGTGAAGGAAAAAACACAGAGTTAATGTTTCGGGTGCCCACCAGACCTGAAACATTAACTCTGTGTTTTTTCCTTCACAGATGCTGCCAGACCTG